TGTACAATTTTTTAATAAGAGCATAGAGTCGTTTGTAATATTTCACAATTTTTTTTCAGTCAGCAGAGAAACGCTATTTTGCAAATCTTAAATAACATGGACCAAACATGTAACAAATACTTGGCTGGATGCATACAAACAGGTTGACAAAAATAATTAACTTATATCATTGAAAATAAGTTATTAAAATTAATTTTAAAATCTTGTAGGTTTATGTAAATTCTTTCAGCTAGGATCGCTTGTATGGTTGATTGATTCGTATCAATTAAATCCTAAAGTTTTTCTCTACAATACTCTATACTTTCAGCTCAAGTACCATGCCAACCGGTCTCTCCCTTTAAGGTTTTAAAAACAAGTTTTATAATATGGTCGGTGATTATATTAATACAATGAAGACGAGTTTTTATTAATAAGGGTTTGATTCCTAACAAGCATTTATCAAATTTCAAGTTTTCATGTAAGGACATTAAGATTTAAGAGAAGCTGCTAATTGACAACTTCTCTGTGTTGTACGAGTTGACAAGTAAGGACATTAAGATTTAAGAGAAGCTGTTAATTGACAACTTCTTTTTGTTGTACGAATTGATTGAAAATTTCTCTGTGTTGTACGTAGTAATTGACATTTTCTCTGAGTTGTACGAGTTGATTGACAACTTCTCTGTGTTGTACGAGTTGATTGACAACTTCACTGTGTTGTACGAGTTGATTGACAACTTCTCTGTGTTGTACGTGTTGATTGGCAACTTCTCTGTGTTGTACATGTTAATTGACAACTACTCTGTGTTGTACGAGTTAATTGACAACTTCTCTGTGTTGAACGAGTTAATTGACAACTTCTCTGTGTTGTACGAGTTAATTGACAACTTCTCTGTGTTGAACGAGTTAATTGACAACTTCTCTGTGTTGTACGAGTTAATTGACAAATTCTCTGTGTTGAACGTGTTGATTGACAGCTTCTCTGTATTTTACATGTTGATTGACAACTTCTTTGTGTTGAACGTGTTAATTGACAATTTGTCTGTGTTGTACGTTTTAATTGACAACTTCTCTGTGTTGTAAATGTTGATTGACAACTTCTCTGTGTTGTACGTGTTGATTGACAACTTCTCTGTGGTGTACAAGTTGATTGACAACTTCTCTGTGTTGAATGTGTTAATTGACAACTTCTCTGAGTTGTACCTCTTAATTGACAACGTCTCTGTGTTGTACGTATTAATTGACAACTTCTCTGTGTTGTATTTGGTAATAGTAATCTTCCCTGTGTTGTACGAGTTGATTGATAACTTCTCTGTTTTGTATGTGTTGATTGACAACTTCTCTGTGTTGAATGTGTTATAATTGACAACTTCTCTGTGGTGTACGTAGTAATTGACAACTTCTTTGTGTTGAACGTGTTAATTGACAATTTCTCTGTGTTGTACGTTTTAATTGACAACTTCTCTGCGTTGAACCTGTTGATTGACAACTTCTCTGTGTTGTACGTGTTGATTGAGAACTTCTCTGTGTTGTACGAGTTGATTGAGAACTTCTCTGTGTTGTATGTGTTGATTGAGAACTTCTCTGTGTTATACGAGTTGATTGTCAACTTCTCTGTGTTGTACGTGGTAATTGACATCTTCTCTTTGTTGTATGAGTTGATCGAGAACTTCTCTGTGTTGTACGAGTTAATTTATAACTTCTCTGTTTTGTACGAGTTAATTGATAACTTCTCTGTGATGTACGAGTTGATTGACAACTTCTCTGTGTTGTACGAGTTAATTGACAACTTCTCTGTGTTGTACGTGTTGATTGACAACTTCTCTGTGTTGTACGAGTTAATCGACAACTTCTCTTTGTTGTATTTGGTAATTGAAATCTTTCCTGTGTTGTATGTGTTGATTGACAACTTCTCTGTGTTGAATTTGTTATAATTGACAACTTCTCTGTGTTGTACGTAGTGATTGACATTACTACGTGTGGTGTACGTGTTGATTGACAACTTCTCTGTTTTGTACCTGTTGATTGACATCTTCTCTGTGTTGTACGAGTTGATTGACAACTTCTCTGTGTTGTATGAGTTGATTGACAATGCCTCTGTGTTGTACGTATTAATTGACAACTTCTCTGTGTTGTATTTGGTAATTGAAATCTTCCCTGTGTTCTACGAGTTGATTGATATCTTATCTGAGTTGTATGTGTTGATTGACAACTTCTCTGTGTTGAATGTGTTATAATTGACAACTTTTCTGTGTTGTAAGTAGTAATTGACATTTTCTCTGTATTGTACGAGTTGATTGACAACTTCTCTGTGTTGTACAAGTTGATTGAAAACTTCTCTGTGTTGAACCTGTTGATTGAGAACTTCTCTGTGTTGTATGTGTTGATTGAGAACTTCTCTGTGTTGTACGAGTTGATTAAGAACTTCTCTGTGTTGTACGTGTTGATTGAGAACTTCTCTGTGTTGTACGAGTTGATTGTCAACTTCTCTGTGTTGTACGTGGTAAATGAGAACTTCTCTTTGTTGTATGAGTTGATTGACAACTTTTCTGTGATGTGCGAGTTGATTGATAACTTCTCTTATTGATTGAGAACTTCTCTGTTGTTTGAAAACCATGTTCTTAATATTCTTCTTCCTCAGATCTAGAATTTTTAAAAATTTCCTGTGATAACTAACAAAATATAGGGAACATGATTAAACTAAAGTTTATTTTAAAATTAAGTTTATTTCATAATGAAAAATGTCAGATTTTTTGTAGAAAATAGATTTTATTGAGATTTTGCCCATGCCCTGCACTTCCCAATTAACTATATAAAAAAAACATAATGAAGAACAATGTTAGAACATAGTTTGTTTTAAAATAAAAAAATATATTGTAATAATTGAATATTGAGTTAAGAAGGGTACACTGAAATTTCTGCTCAACTCCTGTTTGGACACCCTGCCAACACAAACCAACCTTCTACAATTTGGGGAAAATTTGCATCAGATCTCAGTAAACTATGCTTACAGACAGGCGCTGAATTCATAGAGAATAGAATATATAGAGAGGAATTTACTAGAAAAAAGTGTAAAACGGCCATTTTGTTGTACTGTTTCCATACTGAATTATAAAGTTTATTTAACAGTTTAAAAAATTCGAAATTGAAATGGATAGTCTAGGGAACATACTGTATTAATGTACTCTACTGCATATAATTTATGAACATTTACATGATTTGTACACTTTGAACTCCCTTTCAGGCTGAAAGGGACTGAAAAAATGAAAACCAAGAGATTCTTTTAATTCCTCTCTATATATTCTATTCTCTATGGCTGAATTGCATTAAGGTAGAAGACAAGAAACAACAAACCATATATTGAATGGCTGCAACTGCAAGGTTGAAGGCACAACAATCTTATTAAATATATCGGACTGGATGAACTGGATATTAACCGATTTTTGGTGTATGCCGACATCCCGTCCCATATGAGGGGGGGACCCCAGAACTCCTCAACTGGTAATCACCGCCACCCAAATGTGTTTTGCGGCAAGTGCACTCCTCAATTGGTAATCTCCACCACCTCAATTGGTAATCACCGTAAAATTTAGTTTTCTGAGATTTTAATTTAATGCACTTTTAACACAATTTTCGAAATCTATCGGGGATTTATGGCATCTGTATTGACTTAAACTAAATTTTCAAATTGTTTTTAGATTTGTTTGGTCAACAAAAACTGAGAGTCAAGGCACAGTTCATTTTAGCCGAATCTTAGATCCAATTCGCTGATTTAATGACTGCATTTCATGATTGGCTTTAAGATACTAAAAGGTTGGGCTGCCATGTTTACTAAAAATTATCTCGTCTCATGCATATAAAAGATATTTTCAAAAAACCTTTACATTGTTTAGATTTTTGTATTCGCCTACTCGAGTTCAATTTTCATCTACAACAATTATATGCATAGAAAGAACATAAAATTTTGAAAAATTAGTCTCATCCCCACCCCTACTGAAAATGAAGTATTAAGTCCACTAATAATGGGTTAAAGTTTCCTCTCAAAATTGGCAACATTTCTTGTGTTCAATCGTCTTCACTTGATATTTTAGGGCATATGGGTATTTGAAACTAAAAAAACATAATTTTATTTCTAGCGCTTAGTATGCAAGCGCGCAACTAGGGGGGGGCATGCCCCTCCCTTAAGAAGTCTTGCCCCCCCTGTAGGGGGGGGGGGGGCAAGAAATGACGAAGTCCACCCTGTTTTGCAATTTAGCGATTCATGAATCCAGACCCTGAGAAAATTTAAGAGCTCTTATCATAAAATAAAAAAAACCCCCCCTGTATCCGCCCCTGACCAGAATAGATTTCTTGTTTCATTTTATATCAGATGTGTTGACTTATAACTGAATATCCAGTTGATAAGGTTAGTTTTTTATTGTTTAAGTATAACACACATTTTTCTTGCCCCCCCCCCTAAAAATGTTTAGGGGGGGGCCAAAGAATATTTTACACCATGGGGCCATTAACAGAGCTCAATATGGTATTATTTCTAAGAAATAACTGATTTAATGTTACGCTTTTTTCGGCTGATTATGCAGTTGAGGTGGTGGAGATTACCAATTGAGGAGTGCGCTTGCCGCAAAACACATTTGGGTGGCGGTGATTAGCAGTTGAGGAGTTCTGGGGTCCCTCCCTCGTCCCATATTCTTCCAGGGGGAGGTACTGTTCTCCCCCCCCCCACCCACCGATGGTGTATTTTTCGACCTACGCAAATCCGCTATACTCGACACTTCTGACCTATAACGCCAAGATAAAAATTTTATTATTTCTCCTGAAAAATATATTGCATAACCGATCCTCTGTACGCGCCTGATCGGGATATCTTGAACAATTATTTTACACCATAAAAGTTGCAGCGCCTGTCGCGTACCCCCTTCTTCCCCTTCTGTTGGGGACTGGGGAAAGGGGGTGTAAAGGGGTAGGGGTACTATAATTTAAATTATGCTAGTAATTGAATTAGTTAGAAAATAGCGTAATGTTGACAATCAGGTGGGGCTAAGTAACGTGACTAGTATTGATTTCTGCTCCCATTGGTTGAACAATTCTGAACCAACCAATCACAGCACAGAGTTTAGTTCATTCTAGCAGACTCAGACATGGCGGAAATACCGTCGCCCTCCAAAGTAAGTGTTTTTTACAATTAATAGACTCTTAATGGCCAAAATTCGTGAATATTTTCCACGGAAAAAACTCGGTGAATATTTTTGAAACTTTTGAACCAGGTTTTGTTATATATGCTACGTCATCTACATCGAAAGTTAGAACCCTGTGATTCCAATAATTATCTCATTTTCATAAACACGATTCATTTAATTATTTTCAACCGTCTTAATATCAATTATTGTAGGTGGCAGGGCCCTTCATGCCCCAGTTTGAGATATACTGGAAAAGGTTGGATCCTAATAACACCGGACGAGTAGCTCCTATGGATGCTGCGAAATTTCTTAAATCCTCCGGATTATCGGATCACACACTTGGGAAGGTAAGAGAATCTAAAAGTGTGATGTGCCCCTCCCAGTCCCTTTTCACCCGACACCTCTCAATATGCGTTCGTTTATCTGAACATCTTGGCGCAATATCAGTTCTGTTAATTTTAGTCGTCAATGAAAGTTTCAAGTCTGTCTCGTAATTGTTCTGTCACTATCAAAAGTGCTGTGTCAAACTTTGAAAGAAATTTGTCGTTACGTATTAATGCCGAATTTTATAGACACTTTGGGTCTGTCCTAGAGAACGACTTTTGGACCCCCCTCCTATTAATTTTTTACATGACCACTTATTTTCAGCAAAATTATTATTATTTTTTTTTATTGTTTCAAAGTTGGGTTAGGTTAAGACAATTTCTGGTCCGAGCGCTGCGGCTTGGACAGGCTAGGGGGCCGAGTGCTGCTGCTAGGACAGAGTAGGGGGTCGAGCGCCGCGGCTAGGGGGCCGGGTGCTTTGGCACACGTATAATAATATGGGACTGTAAACTTAAAAATACGTGACCCTTCATTCTCAACTGTACCCTGAAAAGCTTTTCTAGATTAAAAACTAAAGAGATATCCAGGATTCCTTCTTTAAATTAGGTTAATTTCAATTGTGGTTTCTATTTAAAACTCACTTGTGAATTTGGGGCTTCAGAAACGATATGCGAAATTTTTGAATTTTGACACTTCTTTAAGCTAGTAAACCAAGACAAATCCTTATGTTAAATACCACGTTTCTCTTCAAATACATCTAAATTCTAAAACACTGTTTTAAACAGAGTAGGTCAAAATAAGCGGTGCTAATTAATACAACGTCAGAGAAAGAATGAATTATTTTTCTTCCTGTTTTAGATTTGGGATTTGTCTGATCATGAAGGCCAAGGTTTTCTGGATAAAAAAGGACTCTTCATTGCCTGTAAACTTGTTGCTCTCAGCCAGGCAAACAGGGAACTCCTTCTTGAAAGTATTCTTGATGAATCTCCAGCTCCAAACTTCGGGGATCTAACTGCTCCCGGAGCTAAGGTAAACAATCCGTTTTTTTTTGGAGTATTGAAATCCGTATCCGGGCTCATTTGGATTAAATCAGAGGTTAATGGACTTGAATTTTAGATCTATACGGTTAGATTTAATTTAAGTCGTCGTCTAGAATTATTTATGAAGTGCAGTCGATGCCTTGGACAATTTGCAATCTGAGCTTATTACCGAACTTTTTTCTCTTTCCCCCCCCCCGCCCACCCAACAATGTTGTTTGAATTAACTTAATTCTTCTTGTCCATTAGCATTTCTGTTTTTTATTAATTGTAAGTTTTCCTGACTTTTTGACAATGCTTGTAAAAACTAAGTTTGCAGATATTTCTTAAATTTTTCCAATATATTAAATTTCAAACATCTACTTGAGTGTAGAATGCTTGGCGTTTAAACCATGTGTCATCCGTTACAATGCATTGAAAAAAATGTTGTCTGCGAATTTGTTTCTGAAGTTACCGGTTTATTTTTAACCTAATCAAAAATCAATTTTGAGGTGAATAAATCAATTAAAATGTTTTGCTTCGCGTTCAAATCCTACATTATTGATATCTGCTAATGATTGATCATTATAAAAAAAAAACATTCATTTAAAAATTGTAAGTGCTAATTGGCGATGATAAAAAAATCTACCTCCATAAATGCGTGGGCAAAATGTTTTTTCAGAAAAAATATATTCCCTAGCAAGTTATCTGTTTAACAAATCACATTAAAATTTTGAGTGATTTCAGAAAATAAAAGTATAACCCAATGTTCAGTAAAAAGTTCAATGACAGTCAATTATCATGCATATGTAAAACAAGAAATTAAATGAAACATTTTAATCTTGATAGAAAGAATAGTAAACATAATCTTGATTATGAAGCTCTTTGCTCATGTATATCTATTTGTATATATATTTATATGTTACCTATAGCTGGTCGAACGGCTGGACCGAATGGACTGATTTTTTTTAGGAAACCCATTGGTTTTTTGGGGAGTGGGGGTAACATAGGCTAAACAAAATAAAATTTTTCAAAATTGATTTTTTTTTATAATGGGCGATTCTAGGTATATAGTTATCTATATAATGAAGCTCTTAGCTCATGTATATGTATTTGAATATGTATATAGGTGTAAACTATAGCTATATTTTTTTTAAAACTTCAATTTTTTTATTCCACAGGCAACGCTGGGCACTCCAGCTAGTTTTCTATATAATGAAGCTCTTAGCTCAGATATATACATATATTTGTATGATAATAGCCAGACCGAAACGGCTGATTTTTTTTAGGAAACCCATGGGTGCCCGGGGGGTAACATAGGTTAAAGAAGAAGTAAAAAAAAATATATTTTTTATATCAGAATTTTCTTTAATTTGATTTTTTAAAATGCTACAAGCAGCGCCGGGCAGCTAGTTATATATGACTGTGTGTCAATTTTTAAAAATGTGTCTTTTGATGCTTCTAGGGTGAAAATGTACAAATTTTATCCGGGACCAAAAACAAGATCAGTATATGTGTCGCTTAAAGCAATTACAATAAATGAAAATCTACAATAAAATAAGAATCAATATATTTTTAGTATAATTGTGCTAGAACTCTAATCTAAAGAACCGAGGTGAAATACTGATACCTGCTCTCAAATAATATATAGCTCCATTAAATTTTTAAGTAATTTAAAAATTACCCTAATTTTGGTTTCAGATTCGGATTCCTTAAATTGTTCTGCTTATGTCACATTAGTGTGTCCTCTTAATCTTATAAATACCTTAATAAAGGTTCGTCCTCCACACTTTTCTTTACTGAACGTCCTTACTTCAATCAGATATGCGTCCTTGTATGGAGCAGATTATTTTGATAAATATTCTTATTTATTGTTTCTTATGTCGTTAAATATTGCCAGTTTAATTCCTAGAGAGGACATTTTTAAGAGTTTAAGAGTTAAGGTGCAGTCTGCTGGCTGGGGATTTTTAATGCCGATTTTGGGATTCCATTTCGGGGGTCTTGAGCTTAGAGTCGATACAAAGATTTGGCAATCGGGAATAAGGGACAAGGTATTAAATACAAGAGTTTTGTTCTCTGACTTTTATATATTTATATTTCGTTTTTTTAAGGTTGCAGCAGCACCTCGTGGTACACCAGCTCCAAGTATTAACTTCCTGGTTAAACCTGAAGAGAAAAGGAAGTATGATGCATTGTTTAATCAGCTCAAACCAACCAACGGGATACTACCTGGAGATAAGGTAAAGCAGGACCATGTATAGGGGTTTATATTTTCTTGACAAATAATCCCCCCCACCACCTCACCTCTTGAAAATCCTTATTTTTACCTAGAATTCCTTGACATGGAACAAGGATATATATGACGTAGAGTATGATGGTTGAGTTTTTTAACATTCTGCAATATCTGACGAATTGGACCTGTTTTATTGTAAACAATCAACATCAAGAAAGTAAGGTTTGCTCAAAATTTCTCAAGAATAATTAGCATTTTTCATAATCTTTGCTATTCACAACCTCTTACTCTAGAGCTGTCCTAATTCGGCAGAGAAACCTCTAAAACTGTGGAAGCAAACGACGACTTTAAGACTCGATTTATGATTTTTATTAGTCCACTGAACATAAAACATATTAATTTTGCGGTGTGCAGACCTACATCACATAGGTGCTCTAATAAGGTTGTATGCATTAATATCTTCTCCTTTTTCCACACTTTTATGCAGGGGCGTATGTTTATAAGAATTAGCCCCCTGATCTGAGGGAGAAAAATGAAAAATTGGACAACTGGGCATCAAAGGGGAAGTTTTTTCTTTTTCTAACTACTTACCCAAAAATTTATTTATTATCCCCTAAAATCATTCCCAATATACATCCCTGCATTTTTGGGTCTCATTGTATGGAGAGGGGGGGGGGGGGACGTAGTAGGACAACTTAGCCAAGTTCTATTGTAAAGAATAGCAAATATTATGGACAATTTTACTGAGAAAACTTGGGCAAGACTTTTTTCTTAATGTTTTATGTTTACAATAAAACTGTAAAGCTGTCATTACACGTGAGATTATTAAAGAATGTAAAAACTCTACTCTTATAATCTTAGTTCTGTATTGGCTTTGTTCAATATCAAGGATTGTTACATTAACCTTTCGTTACGACATGCATATGAAAAGCAGGAAAATGTCGGTAAATATTTTATAACAGTAAGCGAAGATTGTTTATCAAGAATGTTTTTCAAATAAGCTTGCATGCAGGAATGATTTCAGGGTTGGATACAATGCCTACAAACTAATCAGCCTGTACGTGGGGGAAACTTTCAGATCTTTACTAGTATAGCTGATAAAGTACATTTCACAGTCCGATTTAATGTCATTTACAATAGTAGTTTCATTGATAAAATACATTTTACAGTCCGATTTAATGTTATTTAACAATAGTACTTTCATGCGATAAAGTACATATTACAGTCCGATTTAATGTCATTTACTATAGTAGTTTCATGGATTAAGTACATTTTACAGTCCGATTTAATGTTATTTAACAATACTACTTTCATGCGATAAAGTACATTTCACAGTCCGATTTAATGTTATTTAACAATAGTACTTTCATGCGATAAAGTACATTTCACAGTCCGATTTAATGTTATTGAACAAGAGTACCTTCATGCGATAAAGTACATATTACTGTCCGATTTAATGTCATTTACTATAGTATACTATACTTTATCGCATTTACCTTAAACAACATTTGATCTAAACTTGCCAGAACTTTCAATGTAATCGTCTTTTCTGTAATGCATGCTCAAATGTTGAAAAAGATCTGATTTATCATCGTATATATTTTTTAAATTTTGTTCTGAGAGTGGTTTTAAGAGCCTATGATGATTAGAATTGGCAGGTTGTATCGGCTTCATGCTGTCTAGGTTAAGTTTAGTTACAATGTAAACTCCGCCGTGGCTCCGCCATCGTCCCTATCTCACCGCAATCCGTCCCAAGTCAAATATTTACATTCGCCAAACAGGAGACACGGTTAAAATAACCTCTGGCTTCCCACGCTCTCCTGTTTAAATCTGTTTAACAAAATTTTTATTAATTTAAAGATGTGCCGAATAAATTTTATTTGAGATGATTTTGATTTAATTTAATATTTGTGAAAAACAATTTAAATTTTTTTCCCGTATCGTATTTCCTCGTTTTCTTGCACGTACACTTGTTTACAGTTCTTATAGAAGCTAATTGAAGCTCGTAAAGTTTTCATCAGAAATAATAAACATGGGGCTGGCGGAAAACAACATTGAAAATAACATGGAAAACAGCATGAGTTTAAATGAATCCAATAAAACAATATTTTTTGTTTGTGCAAGGTTCGGAATGTTATGCTCGGATCCAAGCTTCCCATGTCTATGCTTGGGAAGATATGGGATCTGGCAGATCAGGATAAAGATGGAAACTTAGATAGGTAAACAATAAATTCAGTGCTTGGGATCCAGTTTACTTTGATGAGGGTCTGAATCCTGGATCTGTCCGAAAAACAGATCCAAATCTTAAATTTAATTGTTCATTTTTTCATATTTATTCTTTTTATTTAGAAAGAAATCTGGGATGATATTTAAGTGAATATTTATTTTTCTGTATCATAAATTCATTATCTTTACCATATCATCTTCCATATGTATTGTTTGTGTGATGGATAATGTTGGCACATGTGGGTTTTAAAGGGGAGTTCATCTGCAGTTTCAGTTCAGTTCAAATATTGAATATTTATTCACGTTTCTTTTTCTAGGATTTTACGTCTTTTAAGTCGCTTGTACTTATTATTCTAAAAATTTCTGGTTTTTCTATTGACATTGATCTCCATAGACAATTCTTCTCGGTCATTATTTTGGAATTTGACTAGTAAAAATTTCCTTGGGGTCCAAGTGAGTTACCACAAAAATTGAACCCAATTGGTTCAGCCGCATTGTATACATATAATAGATTGCATTGGTTAGAAGTAATAAGTGGGGGGGGGGGGGGCTGGCATGAAACAGGTCTAGAGACACTGAGGCTTCTTGAAGATCCCATCTCTAATATTCCTTTTTCAAATTCAAGGTTGATATTTATCAAAATATATCTCTTTTATTTGACTAGGTATGAGTTTACTGTTGCAATGCATCTAGTTTACAGAGCTCTACAGGATGATACTATCCCAGACCAGGTACTCACTCATTTATGATGGTTCTTTCTAACTTGCAGTTTTACGAAGTGACATTTTCCCACGAAAGACATTTTCACGATGGACATTTTCCCCGTTACTCTCTTAAACGCGAATTTTTTCTCAATTAAACGTTGATCGACCAAAATACATTTGACTAAAATACAGAACTCACAGAATACATTTTTCCAAGTACTGATACCCTCAGACTTTTCAAAAATGACCGTTTCGCCACAAACATTTCCCCAGAATAACTGATTTACAGCAGACATTTTCCCAATTGTCTGAACTAGATTTTTTTTCCAAAATGACCGTTTCCCGACAGACATTTTTCTCAAAGGTGTGGAAACAAAAAAATATACAAATACAAAGATGCCGATTTTCTACAAACAACAAATATTTGTGTTCAGTTGCCAGCGGAACTCTCAAAAGAAAAGGTTCCTCAACCTTTATCTGCCCCGGTTGCTCTTCCTGAACTACATAATGGAGCTACTCTACGGGTAACTAATCCCTCCCCCCATATTTAATAATTATGGTAGAAATAAGCTATCTCATTACATACTTTACTATTGACCGTCAATCAATCTATCAAAATAAATGTCTGAAAATAACTTGTCTTGTTAAATTGTTCAATTTATTTTAACAATCTTCCAATTATTCAAGAGAAACCTCTCCCACACTCAAGGTTAACCTCCAATCAGTATAATAGGCAGATGAAAGGTTTATTTTATGATCAATAATTTTTTACTTTTATTATTTTATTTTATATTATTTTTCATTTTTTGTTTCATTTTTAGTTAGACTCAAGTTCTTTGTTAGATGGTCCGACCCCCATCCTGTCCATTGGTTCTAAACCAAACTCAGCTCTCCTTGAGAATAACAATACACCAAACCTGAATAATCTCAATGCAATGTATGATCAATCTGTTTCCAAACCCAACCTCCTGGATTCTCCCCAATCAACCCTAATCCAACCTTCCACCCAACCCAACCCAGCCCACTCAAACCTATTACCTCGATCCTTAGATGTAAGTTTTTTTTTTAGTTTTTTCTTTAATTTTTGTTTTTTACGCACTGTTTCGTTTTTTTTTTTATCCCCCTCCCCTCTCTTTAAAAAGATAATTTCACTCCCTCTCGTCTTGAAGGTCGTACGAGCCGCGAACAGGAGGTAAATTTGCAGTGTCAATTTTGGTTATAAAAATAAAAAATCTTAATTCAAAAAGTCCTGCATTAGAAAAATTGTGGGAACCTATTTTTTTTTACCCCGTGGGGAGTAAAATCAATTATCTTACCTGACTAACAATTTAAGATTTTAAGATTTTAACTCTTGATAGATAAGATCTGAAGCTGAAACTAAATAAATCTAAAAATTATCTCTTATTTAGTTTTTCCCTTTTCAAATTTTTTAGGTATTTTCCCTCTTTTTTATAATTTTTTGGATTTATTTTCTCTGTTAATTTTGTTGAATATATAATACAATGAACAAAATACATGCGCCTCTGTAATATGTGCCAGGAATGATTAAATGAACCAGAGCTGGGAACTTTAGAATGGATCAACTTTAATCCTGACTTCCTAATCCGAATATCCACTGTGGAAACTTTTAATATCCTTAATATTTAGAATGAAATATCCTTAATCCAGAGCTGGGAACTTTAGAATGTGATATCCTTAATCTGGAGATTAAATTCATGAGGAGAACAAGCAATATTTAATCTGGAGATTTAGAAAAAGATGACATCAAGCATTAATCCCGATATCCACCATTCAAAAGTTTCCAGCTCAGGATGTTTATTTTCCTTCAATCCTATCAGGGTGTCTTGTTCAGGGTGTCGTGTGTTTTCCATTGAAACTAGACCACGTGATTAGTTTTCTTCCATTGAAACTAGACCAGGTGTTAAGTTTTATTCCATGGAAACTAGACCAGGTGCTTAGTTTTCTTCCATTGAAACTAGACCAGTTGTTTAGTTTTCTTCCTTTAAAAAAGGACCGGGTGTCAAGTTTTCTTCCATTGAAATTAGATCAGGTGTTTAGTTTTCTTCCATTGAAACTTGACCAGCTGTAAAGTTTTCTTTCATTAAAAATGTTCCATTGAAACTAGACCAGGTGCTAAGTTTTCTTCCATTAAAAGTTGAGTTTTTTTCCACGGAAACTAGATCAGGTGCTTAGTTTTCTTCTATTGAAACTAGACCAGGTGTTCAGTTTTCTTCTATTGAAACTAGACCAGGTGTTTAGTTTTCTTCTATTGAAACTAGACCAGGTGTTAAGTTTTATTCCATTGAAACTAGACCAGGTGTTAAGTTTTATTCCATTGAAACTAGACCAGGTGTTAAGTTTTCTTCCATTGAAACTAGATCAGTTGTTAAGTTTTCTTCCATTGAAACTAGACCAGGTGTTCAGTTTCTTTCCATTGCAACTAGACCAGGTGAAGTTTTCTTTCATTGAAACTAGATCCGTTATTTAGTTTTCTTCCATTGAAAGTAGACCAGGTGTCCAGTTTTCTTCCATTGAAACTAGACCAGGTGTTAAGTTTTCTTCCATTGAAACTAGATCAGTTGTTAAGTTTTCTTCCATTGAAACTAGACCAGGTGGTTAGTTTTTTCCATTGAAACTAGACCAGGTGTTTAGTTTTTTCCATTGAAACTAGACCAGGTGTTTAGTTTTCTTCCATTGAAACTAGATCAGTTGTTAAGTTTTCTTCCATTGAAACTAGACCAGGTGTTCAGTTTCTTTCCATTGCAACTAGACCAGGTGAAGTTTTCTGTCATTGAAACTAGATCCGTTATTTAGTTTTCTTCCATTGAAAGTAGACCAGGTGTCCAGTTTTCTTCCAATGAAACTATACCAGGTGTTTAGTTTTCCTTCAGGTTTTTTTTCGTTTAAACAGAACAGCTTGTATGGTTTTCTTCTGTTTAAACAGAATTGTGCGTGTGATTTTCTCCTGTTTAAACAGAAAAGTATTTATGGTTTTCTTCCGTTTAAACAGAAAAAGAGTGTATGGTTTTCTTCCGTTTAAACAGAAAAGGGTGTATGGACCGTTTTCTTCCGTTTAAACAGAACAGTGTGTATGGTTTTCTTCCGTTGATACAGAAAAGGGTTTATGGTTTTCTTCCATTAAAATAGAAAATGATTTCTGAGTTTCTTCTGTTTATTTCTTCCGTAAACTTTTTTGGTGGGTTCATTCGCTAAATTGTGGTAAATAAATGAATTAGTGGTTCAAGCGTATCAGATGGGTAAAAATACTTGCCCTTTGATGTTCAATTTTTTAGTTATTACCCTCAGAGAATCGTAAATCATAATTCTCAAAACTAAATTCAGATTTATATTTGATTTTTCGTTTAAACAGAAGAGGGCGTGTAGAACGTTAGTAATGAACCTTTTCTTTAGAACATTTTAGTCCCGAGCAGTGTGTAGAAATCAATATTATTTGTATTCTCTTAACTAATATGTTTCAATTAATTGAGGGAGGGTGTACTAATCAATATTTTTTATTCTCTCAACTAACATGTTTCAATCAATTGAGGGAAGGTGTACTAATCAATATTTTTTATTCTCTCAACTAATATGTTTCAATTAATTGAGGGAGGGTGTACTAATCAATATTATTTTATTCTCTCAACTAATAAGTTTCAATTAATTGAGGGAGGGTGTACTAATCAATATTTTTTATTT